TTGTTTCCCCATTCCTCATCATCTTTAGACATCCATGCATTTTATTAAGTAATGTTAAGGATCAAGGTAGAGCCTTTCTTTCTTTCTTTCTTTCTTTCTTTCTTTCTTTCTTTAAACTAACTATAGCTTGTCTCTTCCATCAATAGAATACATTGTAACAAAAATGGTAATTATATGGGATAACTAAACACCATGCAAGTTGATACTGTAATGTCCAACAGGGTTATCTGGCTGTTTGTTTTTTAATATCCTGGCTGGCTCCTGTTACTTTAGCAGCACAAATTGGGATGTGAAGGTTTTCCCAGCACAGATACACATTTTCACTTCCTAATGTTAGCACATCAAGCTGCTGTTAGAGGCAGTTGCACAGAATCCAGCCAAAGCTGAACTCTTTTAAGTCTCATTTTAGTGCTTAACAGTCACATTGACAGTAATGAGATTTTTAGCCCAATCTTTTGCTTGCATGCATGCTCAGACGTACGGTAAGTCTCACTGACAACAGTAGAGCTTTCTTTCAAATGTGTACATAGAACTTGAGCCTTGAAAGCGCCTTAACTTTAGATGGGTTATGTGCTTAATTATGCAGTATTATCTTAACATGGTCCACAAAAACAATTTAATAAGAGTACTTGCTATAAACTGGCGTTAATTTTGTTAAGTAGAATTAAAGGCATTTAAGACCATATTCTGAATCTTATTTTCATGATTCACAATCTAAAATGTGCAGTCATTCAATAACAGTGTCTGTCATCTGGCATTTGACTCACCAAAAAGTAAGACATTTTTGTTAGGTTAATATGTAATCAGGGTTGGGCAGAGGCTGGGAAAAGCTGGCGTTGATGTAATGTATACCAAAGTTTTGCCTTTAATTATTTATTCAGCAGATCCCAGCAAAGCAGTAAATGATACTGAGGATCCGATTTTAATTCTGAGAATGAAATGAAATTCACAACACTTTAATTTCAGGTAAATCCACGGGGTATGTTTGCACTTAGTTGAATGCTTTAAAGCAAAAAGATGAAGCAGAAATGTGTTAGTGTGGGAAATGTGAGAGCAGTGTTGCCAGCTGACTACCAGCCTGGCTTGCAGCTGCAAAAAACTCAGCAAGCAAAACTTTTCCTAGTGCAGAGACATTGACTCTTTCTCATGTCTGGCTGTAGTGAGAGGCACAGCACCGGTGGCAGGCTGAAGCTTATATGAAAGCCACTGGTGGGGCAGTGTCTTGAGTGATGGGCTTGGATGTGGTGAGCTCAGGTCCACATCCTCATTCAGTGGCGTAGCATGGGGAGTCATGGCCCCAGGTGAAAATTTCTGGGGTTGCACCCCCATGAGCATGGAGCTGCTGGGAGGCAAGCCATGCCTGGGCTGGGCCACCTGGGCTGGGCCTTCAGAGCTGGGGCACGGCCACCGCCTCCTCGTGGCTGGCGAAGGGATGCCCACACGTGCCCCATCCCTGAGCCGAGGGGGAGGAGGGAGGGACTGCCTTGATTAGATGCTGGCCAGCGAAGGGACTGACCGTTGCCCAGTCTTCCAGGGGTGCGCAACACTTACCCTGCCCCAGGCCCTGGCAACCCATGCTATGTAACCCACTTACCTATGTAACTCTGAGTATCCTTGAGGAAGCCTCCTCTCACAGCTTAACATTTCTCACAGGGGTTGTTGTGAGATTAAAACATTGGCCTCAGCTCTGCAGAAGGAGTGAGGGAGGTACATACATGTCCATGAGGCCTTTCATGATACTCTAAATATATATTGTGGTGGGAAGAGGAAAAGTTTCTATCCCATAGCAAATTGTGTTTAATGTTAGGATACTACCACACACGTAGTGATTGTGGCATGCTCACACAGCTCTGATTCCCATTCAGCAACTGTAGGGATCTTAGACTGTCTCCAGCAGAGGCTCCAACTTCTGAGGACAATTGGGGTGGGGGGCTGTCACTTGTGTGATGGCAGGACGTACAGAGGAGCTGGGGTTGAGCCAAAAGTGGTGGCAGCGTGGCTTCAATGGCCAGTGGTGCCAGTGGCTCCTCCTCCTCCTCCCCCTCCCCCTCCCCCATGGGTCGGGGGCTGCTTCCCTGCTCCTTGCCCCCCATGGCAGGAGGAAGAGGAAGAGCCAGCCACGGAAGCTGTGCCATGCTCAGCTGGGTGCTTGGCCTCCTCTGCCCAATTTGAACATGGGGGGGGGCTTGGCCCATAGGAGATGGTGCCCCTGGACTCCAGTATTTTACGTATTAAAGCCTGGCATCAACTATTGCATACAATACACTTGTGAGGGGAGACAGATTTTGTGCAGGCCTTCAGGCAATGTTTTCTTCCATCTGCCTCGCCCTTCCCTCCACTCTTAGGAGCCTTTCCCAGACCATGTGTACTATTATATTCTGATGGATCATTGAATATTACTTTATTTGATATAAGTTGTTTATTTTAAAGTTAGGTTTTTATTATGCCTTTTTTGTGCAGTATTGGATCAGATGATTATCAGTTGTGTGATCCTTTTGTATTTTGTTGTTTCTTCATCTTGTAAACCGCCTTGTGCATAGTAATGTAGAAGGGAGGTGGTATACCAGTTAAAAGTGAACTGAACTGAACAGAACAGAACTGAAAGCAAATCATAAAAAGGGAGGGAGAACCAAAAGCGACAACCCGCTTTGTCTCACAACCTGCTGGGCCCACACTGGTGCGGCGGGGCAAAAGGTGGAAAGGGTTATGTTTTCTTTTTTAATGGTTGGGGAGAGTTTATCTTGCATTGGGTGCAGTGGGAGGGAAATAAACTGCAGTGCAGTTTGTCTCCTGTTCTGGGGATGTGTTGGGTGAATGGGATGGTTGTGGGTCCACAGTGTCTCTCTCTGAACACTTCCTGTTTGCCCTCTCCAGTGCTGAAGGGACACTGGCTGAAGAACGGGCACAGAGATAGAGAAGGAGATCCAAACTTATACACTAAATGGAGAACTCTCTCACCATCCTGGGAGAGATCTGAAGAATACTATGGCCTTCCAGGAACCATAGAATTGAAGCCTAAGACTGCCTCCTATTTTCAGTGAAAATGGTTTTCTTGAGGTGTAATCCTATGGCAGGGGAGCTGGGGTTGATCTCCAAATGTAGTCTATCTGCTGCCATGCCAGATTTTCACTAGCAGAGTAAAAGTGAGGTCAGAGACTCCTCCATCCACTTAGCACAGTTTTTAAAAACAGTTTGAAAGAAAGGAGAGGGAGATTTAGACCAGCTCAGAATGTGGTCTATATCTCCCCCTAGTTTGGGCATCCTGGAGCATCACAATGGCTTTGGAGTCTTGAGATCCAGGCCATTTCCCAGTCCTCCCCCAACAGGATCATCTTTGGCCTTACCAGCATTGAGGGGCCACAGAATGACCATAAATTTCCCCCTCCACTTTCTGCTGATGGAACACCTTTCATCAGCACACAATCATAACTGGATTCTGCCCAATCAGCAGTGCAGAGAAAGGACACCCTGGGCTGTTGTTTTTCACAGTGATTTTCTACACACACACACACACACACACACACCCCTGCTGTGCAGACAGGAAAACGACTGGAACAAACCTGAGCACTGATGCCATGCAGGTTTTGGTTTAGAAGCATTGCATATATAGAGTGACAGATACAAAACACATTTTCGCACCTCACACATAGAGCAATGGATTTGGTACAGCCTGTTCCTACTCTCTCTTTTCTAGTCTTATATATCGGTACCTGCTGGCACAGGTATAAAAGCAGTGCAGGGTACAATCAGCACAGGGTGAATAAGCAACAGCCCAACTGATCTGCCAGTTTATGGGGCAATATTGCCACAAACCAGAATGCCACTAATAGAATTGCCCCATGCTGAACTAACGGTGCTAGCAAATCTAATATCGTGTCCAGAGAAGTTCTCAGAAATGAAAATAAAGCACTGGTACATTGTAGATGGTTAGAGGCTGGCAGTCTAAGAACATCTTTGTTTCAAGTGCCCCCAATTCATTTTAAATTCCCACTCAATGTCCTGTTTATCTCAGTGAATTAAATAGGAAGCCTCCCACAGCTTAGGGATGGAAGGTACCGTACATTCTCTTTGGTTTTTCTCATGTCCAATTGCTTATGCATGCCTCAACTCTTTGTCAACTCATGTTTAAAAACACATCCCTTTGTCTGCTGGATCCAGTGAATGCACTTCTTGATTAAACTGTTCAACAAATGTAGTGTGAAGTAATTTTCTGTGAATATTTATTTAGCAACAGTGTCTTATACATTCCTTTATGATTTGTGAGATTTTTACAAGGTAGCTTATTATCCTATCTCTGCCTCTCTTTGTTCTTTTTTTCTTAACATCCACATTCTTTCAGAATTCTAGTTAAAGAAACAAATAATTTAGCAAGGACTCTATACTGAAACAGCAGAGTGGAATTTTAAAGCTCCCAAATGTCTGCACATTTTATTTATTTGACATTAACATGATAAATGCTTTAAAACATGTTTTTGATGAACGATATAAAATGATTAATAAATTAATTGTAAGAGAAACAACACCTTAATTGACATCAATTAACACTGGAAGAACACTTGCCACCAGTAGCTGCCTTGCCATGCCATGCGCTCTCCTATCCCATAATCTCTCTAATGCTTGGGTCATGCATTAGACTAAACTTCTAGATAATAATCTAAAAGCAACAGTAGGCAAATGTGTTTATTCGCTTTAGCTAAAGTGAAAAAAGAATTGAGCAAGTTTTCAAATACATCAAAATCAGACATAATATGATTCTACATGGTTGCTTTTCCTTGAAGATATTGAGCATTAATTGTTGCTAAAGGGCCAGCTTGATAACTTGTAATTTTACCTATACTTTTACCCTTAATAATAATGTCCTGCAGATCAGCAGGATTCATGATCTTCTGTGTCACAATTTGTCTGCCCACTGCCTTCCCACAGAACTGCTCTGTTCCGCTTGGCTAATGCATGTACATCTAACAGGAAGGGATCTTTCATGCCCATTGATCCTCAAGAGGATGGGATTGATTCAAAGTGTGGAGATCTTGATGACTTGGAAAAAGGCAGGGAAACCTTTTGGAATAAGCGTAAACAACAGCTGCCCATCATTCCCAACTCATTCATTTCAGCAGGAATTTTTCCCATTAGGGAATGTGCATTGGCTCAGTAATTACTATTTATTATGCTTACGAACAACCAAAACCCAAAGAAAGAAAGATCATGAACACCTCCTATGTTTCTCTCTTGTGTTTCAGAATGGACCTTCTACTGCCCAATCACAGGAACCAGAAAGTCTCTTTGATAGTAAGTGTGTTGCAGTATAGATTTCGTTGTTGTTGCTGGCATCCATCTGTGTCAAGAGAAAGTGGGGTGTTTCTCCAGGGGTGAAGTCAATCCGTTGTCTTGCAACAATCTTGTGTTATCTATGGCTCGAATGGAAAGGCCAGGGGAAAATGTTTAAAATGCATATTGTCCAATTGAGCTGGGAATGGCTTTACTTTCCTGCCTACATTTGACAATTCCATCACTACAGTCAGCTCACAGCTTGCATGGGGGCTGTGTTCCAGGAAATTGCGTGTATAGTAAGATAACCCCTAAAAGCACCTCCATGTCACCACCCCTGCCTTTCCAAAGCCTATGTGCTGAGCAGGCCTTGCTTAACAGGCTCTGGCAGGCTCCCATGACATCTTGCGGGAGGATCCCACAGCCCAGTAAGCATGTCTGAGAGCCCACCTTGCACACGTTTCACTTGTGTGGTATCAGCTGGCCAGCTGCTGAGCGTGTGAAGCTGCAGTTGCACAGGTTAAATGTGCACAAGCTACGATTTGACTGTATTGATGTTGATCCATTGCCTAATGTTAGTAAATCCCAATTCCCATTCTTTATCCAACAAACCAACCCATCTATTTAATATGTGGAGAAGTAGAGTTTTAAATAAGTGCACCAGATGTTGGAACAGAACAGACGTAAATTATGCATGGGGGTGGGGGTGGGGTGGGAATCTACAGTGGTTTTAAGGCTGCCAAATCCAAGCTTTCATCTCAGTTTATAAACCTAGCATTTTATCATCTCTGGCACGTGCTGTGGTCATCCACCCTCCTCCTGCTTTTCAAAATGTACGTAGGCCTTGCAAACCCACACAGTCTTTCTGCTAGGACCTACTGAAGATTCAGTACATGGGATATCTTACATACGCAGCTGTTTTTTAGTTCATGATTATAAAACACCAGTGGGCAACCTCTGGCCCACAGCCCGAATTATGCTCTGCTGGGCTCTAATTTGGCCCATGAGGTCTCTCCCCAACCACACACGCCTGCCTTGCACCTGACGTCATATGCATTGTCAGGTGCAGAGCAGGTAAGCACACAAAGCAGAAATCAGGAGCCTTAAAACGCACTCCTGGTGGATCCTTGACAAGTAGGGTTTTTACGTGTGACACCAAATGCAAGCTCCTCTGGGATTGATTCCACTCTGGAGCTTCCAGTATGAAGCTTGGTGTTGATCATCTAATATTAAATAATCTTTTTAGCTTTGCAGAAGTCTGTTATTAATAGGTAGCAAAGATAAATGAGCTTAAAACAGATCTCTGAGGTGGTGGAAGTAAACTCACAAAGCTCTTGAGAGAATTCCTGAATTCATTTAGAAAGGCAGTGCAACTTCATTGCACACATTTGTCCAAATTTTGAAAGAAGAATGGGATTATGAGCAACTGGAGCTAAACAAATGTACAGAAATAAATTTAATTAAAACTATTTATATTTATATCCTTCCTTTTCCCAAGAACTGGAGCTCAGGGTGGCTCACAAAAATGAAAACAAATGTGTAAAACACAGAAAGCTCTCTCTCTCTCTCTCTCTCTCTCTCTCTCTGTGTGTGTGTGTGTGTGTGTGTGTGATAATAGTTAAAAAGGAATTAAACAGAATTAAAATAATATAAGAACAGATATATAAATTCTAGTAGAAAACAGCACTATTAAAAGCCCTTTCCTTAAAACAGTCAGTTCCCAAGAGCCTGTAGGAATAAAAGTCTTCACCTGCTGGTGGATGGGCAACAAGGAGGGAGCCAGTCCAGCCTCTCTAGGGAGGAAGTTCCAAAGTTATCTGGGAGCAGCCACCAAAAAGGCCCTTCCCACATCCCCACCTAATGTGCCTGTGACGGTGGTGGGGCAGAGAGAGGCTTCCCCCCAAGATCTTAGAGCTTGGGCAGGTTCATATGAAGGAATACGGTCGTTCAAAAATCCCAACTGCAATATGTAGCAAATGGAGTTTGACTTTCATACCTCAACTGAAATGGCTTGTATGTTTGTGTAGGTTGGTGGCTGGGGGAAGTTTGTGGCAAGCCTGAACACACTCACACAGGTCTGCTTCTGTCACACCTAGTTATCACTTCCGTAAGATAGCATGCTTTGGAGGCATTTATGACCGAGCTAACTCTGTATCATGATGATGTCATCCTGCAGCTCAGCATTATGACATCAGTTAGAAAAATCTTTGAAAGAGTTCAAGTAACCAGTGGTTCCTTATCCTGGTTTCTTATTTTATAGAATTGTAGACTTGGAAGGGACCGCAAGGGTCATCTAGTCCACCCCCCTGCAATGCAATAATCTTTCACCCAATGTTGCAGGTGATCTATTTCATGTGGAGAGAAGCTATTCAAAGTTACTCAAGGGACCACACTAGAAGCTTGGAGGAATTATCTTTATCCTGAGCTCCATGAAAAGTTGTCATCTACCTGCCTGCATTCAGGAATATTATTATTGTGGAACGTATGGACCCTGTAGCACTGACAAAACTGACAAACGTGGGGAGAATTAGACATAGTGGGAAGGCAGGTAAGTAATAATTTTGAAATTAATTCGGCATTAGTGGTTCAATCCCGAAAAAGATACTTGTGTTTTGGGGAAACAGCCATCGATATATTTTCATCCAAACATGATAGATCCTGGTGATCTCCCATATCCCCACCCAGGCACTAGAGGCCTTGATTTAGGTCTCCTCCACATCATAGAATCATAGAATCATAGAGTTGGAAGAGACCACAAGGGCCATCGAGTCCAACCCCCTGCCAAGCAGGAAACACCATCAGAGCACTCCTGACATCAGATCCTATACAGAAGGCTAAATTAGACTCTGCCATATTCAGAGCAATCTTTTTCTCCTCAAAGCATTCTGGGCACTGCAGTTCATTAATGGTTGCTGGGAAATTTAACTCCGTGAGGGGTAAACTACCATGTCCAGACTTCTTGGAGGGAAAGAACGTGTTTTGAAACTACTTCAGATGTATAGCGTGTTCACAGTTGTGGCAACCCCAATGCTCCAGAACTCCCAAGAGAGGGCCATTTGTTTCCTTCCTACACAAACGTGTATAAAGCATTCTAGATTCAGGTATTGTGTTGGTCTGATGCAGTCAAAATAAATAAATAAAATGTCCAGTAGCACCTTAGAGACCAACTAAGTATCTGAAGAAGTGTGCATGCACACGAAAGCTTATACCCAGAACATACTTAGTTGGTCTCTAAGGTGCTACTGGACAATTTTTTTTGTGTATAAAACATTTTTTTTCAGACAACCTTTAAAAATTAATTACTGCTATATCACATGCATATCCTATGCTCTGTATTGGTTTCTGTGGAGGGTGATATGATGGGTGGAACGGACTGGGAAAGCAGTTTAATGGGCATTATGGACAGTCTCCAGTCCGTGGTGCAGTGGGGCTTGCTATGGCCAGGCCTGTTCCAGCATAAACACCTTTTTCATTTTCACCTTTTAGAATGTTCTAAGTTCTAGGACCAGAAGAGATCCCATCATTTCTGTTTTCAGGGAGAGAAAATAAGCTCCCTTAACCTGCAATATGTGCATCAGATCAAGAATTTACTGGTTCCCCCATCTTCTGGCTTGCCGGTCTAAAGTATTTATCTCGGTTTTGGTTGCTTTCATGTTCTTGTAGGATTTATAACCCATCTGATAAATGCAGTAGACAAAGAACATTCCATTTGGGGAAGAGAGGAACAGCCTGTCAGACACCCACAAAGATGTTATGAGAGGATTAATCCCAGTCCCCCAACTTCTCAGAACAGCATGCATGAAATCTAGCAATGTGTGTGGGGTCCTGGCAAAGCAGAGTGCTCTGTGAATGTTGGCTCTTACACTAGGCAAAACATTTTTGAGTTATGAGATTTTTTTTTAACCTACTTCTAAGGCTTCTCATTTTGAAATGTCATTTTAACTGATCTGCAGTAGATCAAGAGGCTCATGATATGCAGGTAAGATGAGCAATGGCTGTAACAGAGGCCAACATATGGTGTTCACTCGGTACTTGGCAGATGCTTAAGTGGTACATAGGAGTGGATGGTAGGAAATTGTTGCAATAGCCTTCCATCTCAAAAGTCTAAATGTCTTCTTAAAATTGTTTTGTCCTTTTTTAAACAAGTGAACCAACCCAACAACAGTTTTAGGGCATCTATCCAACCTCAACTCTATACTGCTGCCCCCCACAATTTACTAAAACCTTCCATGGAAGCAGGAACTTAATGTTGAGTTCTCCCCTATCCTGTTTCCCCTTCTTTTCATTTTCATTTAAACCACTGTATAAACCAACAACTTGCCCCTTGACCACTAATAATGAACCATATTTTGTAGATATTACTGCAAATTTATAGTGCTATTTTTGTGATGTGCAAATGACATCACAAAAGACTTGGTCTGTTTATTTGCATTATTTACTATTCCTATCATTCCTGTTTATAAAACCCAATAAAGAGTTGTTGTTGTTTAAAAAATGTTAAGTTCTACCTACTTCTGGCTTTCTATCCTAGATCTTTTTCTCTGCTATTCTTAGAGCTATTCTTACTAAATCTACTGTTGGGTATTTTCAGGCCTTTCTCCAGCTGCATGTCAGAGAAGACAAGACGTGGCTCAGTGGCTTCATGTTCTGACTCAAGAGTGAGGCCCATCGGTCCATTGAGCTCAGTATGGTCTACACTGACTGCCAGCAGCTCTGCAGGGTTGCAGCAGGAGATGTCGGGGGCTGAATGTGGGACCTTCTGCAATGCAAAGCCACTGCCCTCCTACTGAGCGATGACCCTTCCTCTATTTTCTGCAAAGAGAGAAGACTCAACAAAGATCAGTTGCATATACTGTGTAGTTGTCTATACTTTCCTCCCCTTTTGTATAATTCCTCATACAAACACTTCTGCAAACTTCTAAGCAAGGAGTGGAAAAAAGTAGAAAATGTATGGAACAATTACTTGTTCCCAGTTTCTGAAATTATTTCCGTACTGTATTTTTTAACGTATTTTTTATTACAGATTTCTTGGTTTACAAAAGTATGTGCAATGTCTGTTTTTTCAAGTTACATTTTCTACAGATCAGTTTCATTTGTTGAGACATTAGTGTTACATTAGGAAAAAAAGGGAGAAAGAGGTGGGGGGGGTCCATGGGGTGTAGGGGTGGCAATGTTTCTATTTTACTTAATGTATGTGTGGGGTTTTGTGTCAGCAGCGCTTGTGCGGGTTCTCTTTACTATTCGCTTGTGTTTCTTTGGTGGTGAGAGAAATTGGGGTTGGCCTAGGGTGTGGTTGCTTGTTTGTGATTGGCTGTGGTGAACTTTGTTTTCATGTGTGAGTGGGGTGGGTGGGTGTTTTTGAATCCGGTTAGCCATATTGATTTGTATGCTGTTGGTGGATTCTTGTCATTGTCTTGTTGGGCTGTGAAAAGGGAGCCATAGTGGGGTGACGGCGTCTTCTTCCATTTGTCCCCGTGTCAGTTTCAGTTTATTGGTCAATTTTTCTAATAAGGTTGTTTCCCATACTATTTGGTACCATTGCTCCATGTTTACTCCTGGCAGGTCTCTCCAGTGTCTGGCTATGATGTTTTTTGCTGCTGAGAGGAGGTAGGTTATGAGCTCTTTGTGATCCTCGTCTGTGCATGTTGACAGTTAGGATTCTGTACTGTATTTGTAAAAAGATAAAGGTAAAGGTACCCCTGCCCGTACAGGCCAGTCGTGTCCGACTCTAGGGTTGTGTGCCCATCTCACTTAAGAGGCCGGGGGCCAGCGCTGTCCGCAGACACTTCCGGGTCACGTGGCCAGCGTGACGAAGCTGCATCTGGTGAGCCAGCACAGCACACGGAAACGCCGTTTACCTTCCCGCTAGTAAGCGGTCCCTATTTATCTACTTGCACCCTGGGGTGCTTTCGAACTGCTAGGTTGGCAGGCACTGGGACCGAGCAACCGGAGCTCACCCCGCTGCGGGGATTCGAACCGCCGACCTGACGATAGCTGCTGTTATATATTCAGTGGTCTGCATTTGCCTGAACTTGAGTTTGGACTAAGGAATCTGAGCCCATGTTCTGATTTGATACATGATATCCAATCACAGAACATTTCAGGATTCGGGCCACTGCCATTGGCTCTTAAACTCTGAGTTATGATTTGTAGTTTGTGAGTTTAGACAGCCAATCATGTTGAGAGTGGGAGTGGCTCAGGCCTTCAGAAATGTATATAAACAGTTGCTTTGCCTCTGTTGTCTAGTTCTGTTAATTCACTAAAGGTTCTTGCTGTTATCACTGTGTCTCGCTTCGTGGGAACTTACCTACACTTCAGCTGCCACTTCGCTTTTGCAGCTATTTTTGCATAGGCCTGCACTAACTATGCTGCTCCCTGCCTTTGGCTCTCCCAGCTAAACCTCGCAACCAAAACCTTTGCAACCATCAAATCTATTTCCGTGGTCAGTGGGAGGGAAAAGGAAAGAGTTTTTCGAAAACTCCCAGAAAGAAAAACAGAGTTAAATCAAAATTGACCATTTAACCCAAAATATATCTGCAAATGTTATAACCATGTGTAGAAGAATAAAAAGAAAATTACAAACAGCTGGTGAAAAGTGCAGTAATTGAAACTATTGATCCTATTACTTTAGAACAGAAAGGATGCCTTCCTACAGATAACATATTTTGGGGAGGGGGAGGTTGTGAGCAATCACCTATCACTTAAGGATGAATGCGGCCATCCTACACCTTGTCCAATGTGTACCTAACATCTAAGGAGCACTAATCTATATTCTGCCCTTGAGTTGTCATGAACAGCTATTTTAAGTCAGAGTTCATTTTTTCTGTTTTAAGGATCATTCCAGTCGCAATGTTCCATGAGTATTGTACTCACATCCTCATCCGGCAGGTCATCAGGAAACATTGCTAAGACTTTGGAAAATGTTTGTTGAAATCTCTTATCTCCACTATTAGGACAGAACTAAGGGCTCTGCTTAAGAAGAGATCACCAGAAAGTCTATATGAAGCACAACCTCTCATTTCCTGATGTATTAATAACATGAGAAGCAAGGGAGGAAGCTGGCTTGGCCGTGGTCCATTTAAAACAACATGCCCACAACCATATCACTGCAACGCATTCTCTCAAGGTATGGACATTGTGAGACGACTGCTTAAATGAATGGTGTGCCATTTTCCTGCAACCAGCAGCGTTAATGAGGGTTCAGATTTTGCTCTTGTGTATTCTCTAGTGTAATAGGGACGCGGGTGGTGCTGTGGTTTAAACCACAGAGCCTAGGACTTGCCGATCAGAAGGTCGGGGGTTCGAATCCCCGTGACAGGGTGAGCTCCTGTTGCTCGGTCCTGCTCCTACCAACCTAGCAGTTCAAAAGCATGTCAAAGTGCAAGTAGATAAATAGGTACTACTCCGGCAGGAAGGTAAACGGCGTTTCCGTGCGCTGCTCTGGTTCGCCAGAAGCGGCTTAGTCATGCTGGCCACATGACCCCGAAGCTGTATGCTGGCTCCCTCGGCCAATAAAGCGAGATGAGCACCGCAACCCCAGAGTTGGCCACGACTGGACCTAATGGTCAGGGGTCCCTTTACCTTTATTCTCTAGTGTATGTTGTTGTCAGCAGTTTCTGCACATTGTTTAATGAGGCCAAGCAAGTGCAGCACTGAGTGTGCATCTAAACCATAATGTTGTTCTGGACCCTATAATTAACCCCTTTCACAGGTGTGGGTGAGAAATGAGAAGAGAGCCACAGACAAGAACTGTGTTCCAAAACAGATGGAGCCCAGCTCAAAGTGGGTGGGGCCAAAGGCATTCACAGCCACATTGAACGTGTATGCAGTAACCAGTAAGATATAGCAATACATAGTGTCTCCACCTTTTAAAAGTTTCAGTCTATTTAAATTGTTAAATATTGTTAAATATTAAATTATTATTAAAGTCTATTTACATTATTGATTATAAGGAGGGCCCATCTACTGATTGTGTAATGGCCTCACACTATCAGCTGCCATTAGAAATTTCTGTTCCACAAATCCTTGAGCAGACTGGTATTTCACTTAGCTAGAGAGACAAAGCAGCATGACTTTCTTCATAGTAGCCATGCTTAGGATCACAGTGTTTTTTATTCTGTCCCTAAGTTTCTGGAACTGATTAACATTTTCCTATACATTCTCATGGCTTAAAAGCAACTTGAGGAAGCTGGAAAAGTTATAATGCTGTCCCAAGATTATCTCAGCTACTTTTTCCAGCTGGGATAGAGCACTCCTTCTTTTCTCTTTTAGTGCCAAAAAAGGAAAACATTTGGATATCCAGATCACTGTTAATTTAAAGGACATCAGCTCAAGTGATCAGTGCTAATCTACTCATGATTTATGGCAGCCAAAAATAGCTTCTATCTTTTGCCATGAGAAACTATATCTCTTAAGAATAGGGTGGTTTTTTTTGTTACTCAAATTAAATCCCCGGTAGGGATGTTCACAAGCTCACATGCCTTATGTAAGCTCAGGGACTGATAAAATTGGGTACTTTCCTCCTAAGTCCAACTGAAACCAATGGAATCTGTAGTGGGTTTAAATACTTTTTTGCTCCATTTTGCTCTATTGGTAGACTTAAAATAGGAATAACAAGAAGAAATGCAAAACACCAATGCACAAGCAAAGCAGATGTTCTTCTGAAGTGTGTCTTTATCAACAGAACAAGATAAGGAAGCAGGTGATGAAAGACTGACCCTATTGTAAAGCATCAGCTAGTAATCATTATTATTTACATTTTATGGAGCTTTAAATTTGATTACATTAACAGGAACTTACCCCCCTCCATACGCAATCCACCCTCCCCATGCTCTGTTTCTCTCTCCCAGTAGTAACCAATAAAACCCAACAGCATACAGAGCTGCAGGCCACACAAAAGCAATTTTAAATAAAAACCAAGAAGCTCTAAATAACTTGTCCAATGGTTTCCAATCAGATAAAAACAGTTTCATACTTTACCACCAGATGAAGCAACTCTTCGTCATGTGAGGCAGGGTTATTGCTTTCCATCTCTGTGGGATCATGCATTTGACCATTTCAGGAGCCAAAGTTTGTGTGGCCCATTCCAGGTTCCCATTCTGATGGTAAACAGCCCAGAACCAGATGGAGAGCCGTAAGGTAAGTCATTCTTCAGCCGTCCACTTCATTACAATTTCCTAGGCATGCATTTTCTCCTTCCTTAGTGTAAAAGGTGGTCAAACATAAAGGTTTCTGAACTGAAAAATGAGGGCAATTCCCAGTTTATCATATAATATATAGACTGTTCTCACCCATGCTTATATAGGAGACAGATTTCAACTTTTCACCCATGTCACACATATGAATACTGCGATCCTATGCTCATTTACGTGGGAGTAAGTGTGATTGGAGTCAATGGGCCTTTGAAGTAGGCACGTATAAAATTGCACTGCATGAGAATAAAGTCAATATAAGCCTTATATCAGCCACCCTGCAAATCACTCTTGTATTAAACGCCTGATTAATGGGCCAAAGGTCTCCCATTTGCAAGCCTGTCCTCTTTGTAGACACAATGAAGCAATTGTTTGCATACTAATTAATCAATTTCTAGTCCTTAGGTGTGCTAGGTAGTTGTGTTACCCACCTGTGCTTCAGTTACAGTGTCAAATTTAAGTCAACAAGCTCACTTAATCTTTTTTGCTTCCTGTCTGCTACAGACGAGGACAACCGGGTTTCACCTTGCAATCCAACACTGCTGAAAAGGTAGCATTTTCAGGTACAGTAAATGAGCTTTGCTTTAGTAATAATTCTTCCAGTTCCCACCTGGGTTCAGACGGTAGAAGTGATTGAATGAGGTGGGCTCTCTCCCTATCTATTTATACCTCCTATGCATTTTTCCATTCCTTTTATGGAAAGACGCCAGAAAAACCTTTCCGCTTTGTCTGGTTTGATAATCAACTCAATTTAGCACAAAACAATGGCTTGAGCCTGAAACGCCAAGTAGAAGTCATGCTTCTTGAGGCCACATGAAATACAACAGGAAGCATTAACATTCCTGCTGAGGGAAATCACCACGATTCATAGACTTTTGAAGATAAATCTAGGGCTTGTCTAGTCCAGTTTATAACAGGATAACAGCTGTCTTTGGGGAGTGGATGTTAAAGCAGCTCTCTGGGACAGAAGTGCCTGGTAAGAGGCTGCTGTTTGCTTCCAGACACCTGACATGAGTCATTTGGATAAACATAACCTTTTCACATTACAAAAGTTGCAACTGAACAGCACCTGCTACTGCACTCCCTTCTCACGGCAGATGAAGCAAAACCAACGAGAGGCTAAGAAATAGGAAAAACAATGATCCAGTTGTTGTACCTAAAACAAAATTTTTCTGAATTTGGAGGAAAGGGGACTAAGCTATTAGCCACAAGATTAAGAAAGAAAATAAATAAAACTATCATAACTGCATTAAGACTAAAATGGGAAATGAGATCTTCTCCACAAAACATATGTGAAGAGTAAAAAAAAAATATATTTCCTGTTTGTACCATTCAAAATCCCCTCCTTCTGAAATGATAAAAAAAAATTCTTAGTCCAAAAAAAATACCAACTGTAAAGGACACAGAGGTAAAACATATGGAAACAGCAGTTACAGAAGAAGAAGTAATAGAAGTAAGAAAAAACCTAAAGGTGGGAAAGTCTCCCGGCCCAGACGGACGTTCTTCACTATTCTATAAAACACTTAAAGATCTAATAATTCCATATATGACTAAATTGTACAATGACATCTTAGCTGGCGACTCACTGCCAGAAACTCAAGAATTAAACTAACATGTAAATATCATTCTCTGGTGGAATCTTATAGCCCAATTTCTCTACTTAATCTTGACTATAAAATCTTTACAACAATAATGGTTAACAGAACGAAAGCATTATTGGGAAATACCTCCACCTGGACCAAGCAGGTTTTGTTCCAGGACGCAAAATTACAGACCCAGTTAGAAAATTACTGAAATTAATATACCACAGCAACCAGAAAACGTCAACATTAGCCTGTCTATCATTAGATATATTTAAAGCATTTGATTGTGTAAAACCCAGGTATTTAATTAAAGTGATAAAAAAAGTTTGTATTTGACCCAAAATTCATTGGATTATTAGAGAACATTTATGGCACGACATTTGCCACAATTAGGATAAATAATATAGACTCACAAAAACGTCAAAATGACTGTGGGACAAAGCAAGGGTGCCCACTGTCACCTTTATTATTCGCCATAATCTTGGAACCACCGGAAAACTGTTGTTGTTTTATTAATGATTTTCAATTTTATACATTTCAATAATTTTACAATCATTTTAACATTTCAAAACTTGACTTCCTTCCCCCTTTCTGCAATTACCGGTAAATTTAAGGAACTGCAGAAAGAGGGGGAAGGAAGTCAATGTTAAAATGATTGTAAAATTATTGAAATGTATAAAATTGAAAATCATTAATATAGCAGCAGCAGCAGCAGCAGCAGCAGCAACAACAACAGTTTTCCAGTGTTGATTGGATCTGATGTGATATATTTTTAATATTTTATTCTAATATAATAAATAGTTTAATATTTAAAATTTTCTGCATATCCAAATTATATTTATTTACTCATTTAGTCATCTACTTTAAATATGTACTCTTCTAAAACTGCAGCTTGTTACAATAATCCTGCCAATGCTCTTATCTGTTTACAGTTTATTTGTAAATATTCAATAAACCATTTCTATTCTTTTATAAAGTGTTTGTTATCTTGATCTTATTTTTCCAGTAAGTTTTGACATTCCTGCATATTTCATGCAGTTTTTGCATCCATTCTTCTTTCTCTGGGAGTTCTTCTTTCCATTTTTGGGCAAGTAACATTCATGTCGCTGTAGTTGCATACATGAATAAATTTCTATACAGTTTGGGTAGTTCTGTCCCTATTATTCCCAAAAGGAAGGCTTCTGGTTTTTTTACAAACGTTATTTTAAACATCTTTTTCAATTCATTATATATCATTTCCCAACAAGCTTTAACCTTACTCCAAGACCACCACATATGATAGAACCTTCTTTCTCGTTACGTTTCCAACATTTACTTGATTATGATTTATACATTTTTCCAATTTACTCAGTGTTGTATATCATCGATATATCATTTTCATATACAGTAATTTTCTTTTAGACCATAACATGCTGTAAATTTTATATCCATATTCCACAATCATTCTCATGTTTCCATATCTATATTATGACCAATATCTATTTCCCAATGTATCATCGAAGCTTTTACTTGCTCATCCTTTGTCTCCCATTTCAATAATATCTTATACATTTTGCACAGCACTTTTACACAACCAGAAAACTGTTGTCTGGAATTGAAGAACTCCAATATTTCTTAAAGTAAAATTTCTTAAAGTAAATTTTCAAAAATCAGAAGTAATGTTATTTCATACCCCCCCCCAGCTTCAAAAAACCTTCTCTAAAATGTTACAAATCCCAATAGCTTAGAAGTTTCAGCTGCTCAGGTGTTCTGATTACTCACAGTTTAAATAAGTTGTATCAGACAAATTATGGCAAAGTATGGAAAACAATAAACATAGATATGTGGTGCTTGGAAAAAATGACACTTTCTATTATGGCCACAACCAAAATGATTATTGTTCCAAAGTTATTATTTTTATTCCAAACCCTACCAGTGTGGATCCCACCAGCCCACATGTACAAATGGCAAAGAAAAATTAATAAATTCATATTTCAATCAGATAGAATGTGCATTAAAAAATATCTGCTGTATCAGCACCCAATTCCTCTTTTAAAAGATAAATTAAATTCCCTACACAGATTCAAAACCCTATTTACTCACACAACTTTTAAAATTTGGACAAAATGGGCAAAGCTCTTTTTCCTGGGCACATCATAATGCCAATACACTTTCACCCAATCTTTATAAATAAATATAAAACCTATAACATAGAAGGGTGGAAAGAAAAACAATTATACTACCTGAAAGATTTTTACAAAAATGGAAGTCCACTTACCATTAATGAGATACAAACCCAGTTGGGAAATCCTCAAATACCATGGATATTAAGACATTTCTAATAAACTCTAAGATTAAAACTGAAGTCAAGAGACAATTAACGTCATATGGAAAAATAATAGTAGAAGAAAATATAGCAATGAAAGGATTAATATCATTCCTGTATAAATCAACTATAGAGGCATATTTTCCTCCCTAGAATAATATGTGAGAATGGTGGGAATCAAATTGGGATTTAGAAGTTGAGGAAGAGGCATGGAATGGACAGTGGATCAAAGCCCCGTTTAAATCTTTTTCGGCAATGACAAGAGAGAGAGCCCTCAAAATTGCACATGACTGGTATTTAACACCTAGACATCTAGCTTGAATAAAACCCAAACGCTCTCCTATGTTTTGGAGAGGGTGTCCCACTATTGGAACATACAGACATATGTGGTGGGAATGTTCAAAAATAGAAAAGTTATGGAGAAATGTCTTTGCAGAGATATCTTTGATTACAAGGTAGATAGTTCCTATGTCCCCAGGACTGGCACTGCTTAATTTGTACAGTCAGGATTTACCAAGAATTAGAATTAAAGCTCTTATAACCCATTTATTGACTGGCAAGAATGACCACAGCCAGAACATGGAAAACATTGCAACTGTTGACCATGGATAAGTGGTATGAAGTAGTCTGGCAGACAGCTTTGTTCGGAAAAACTAACATGGAAACTGCGGGTAGCAAGAGGCCAAAAGAAAATATCCACTCACTGGGTATATCCTTAGCTAAGCTTACCCAGGGGCAGGAGTGCCAGCTTGGCCCTGTGACCGTTGGGGCCTGGGGCCATGGGTGCCACGCAGCTGAACTTTGTGGGGTGCTCAGGCACCCAGGGCCCCAGGACCTATGCCCAGGGGTCTTTGGTGAGGTCTATTATCAAACACATTTTGAAAGTCCCAAGTACACTGTTTCAACTGTATCACCACTATGTGTTTGTTGACACTCTCACAGAACTCTAATAGGTTTGTGAGGCAGAACTTGCCCCTGCAGAAACCATGCTGGCTCTGCCGCCTTGTAGTCAGGTAAAAGTGGTGGGGGTTGCTTGGACACCACCTGAGCAGCTCAGG